GTCCTCAGACGGCATATAACAACAACAGCCCCTCCTAACAACATGTCCAAGGAGAAACCTGGTTGCATTTTCTCCAAGACATATTAGTTCTTTTGACAATCCATGGGACATCGAATACTCTTCTCCAATACTATAACTCAAAGTTATTCAATATCACAACTTCTTCTATCAGCCTTCGTAATTGTCCAACTTCCAGGTACACAGCAAGTAATTGAGAGATCATGGCTCAAGTCAGACACACCTTAGTCTTTAAACTGACATCATTGCTCCCTAAAACCTTAGGGAAGTACTTACAAATGATTTACCCAATGCAACATGTCTTTTCATTTTTTGACTGCTGGTGCCAAGTATGTCATTGACAACTTCAGTCTTCTATCTACCATGGTATTGCCTATTGGCCAAGTGGTGAAGATTTTTGTCTTCTTGATATTGAGATATAATCTATATTGAATGCTGTAGTCTTTGATCTTCTGTAGCAAGTATTTCATGTCCTCTTCACTTTCTGAAAGCAAGGTTTTATCATCGGCATAACATAGGTTGTTATGATGAGTCTTCCTACAATCTTGATGCCATATTCTTTTTCACAGAGTCCATCCTCTGGAATGATTTGCTCAGCATATAGATTGAATAGGTATGGAAGAAAGATGTAGCCTTGATCTAAACGTTTCTTGATTTTAAATTATGCATTTATTTTTCCTTTTGGTTATCACTTCCTAAACCCAATCCATTCCCAAATCCTTTTAACTTGAACTCCAAAATGTATCTTGAACCTCTACTTCTCTCTATTGTAACCTTTTAAATCCAAGCCACCATTACCGTTTGCCTTTACCACCATTTATCATTAATTCCAGCACATAGCAACTCCATGTGTGCCATAGAACTGTGCTCCATAGAGTTTTCAATGGATGATTTTTTTTGGAAGACGATTTCCAGGCCTTTCTCAGTTAACAGCCAGATTATTAAACACTTGTAGCACCCCCTGGTCCTCCTATTACTTGTCTTAGATGACTGCAAAAGCCACCTCATTGGTTTCTACTTTAAATCCGTCCCCATGTGGTCTATTTTCCTCACAGCAACCAGAAAAATCTTTTAGAAATATATGTTTAATCATCAAAACAACTATGAGATATCATCTCAACCCAGCAAGAATAGCAAAATTCAACAGAATACCAAGCAGCAAATGCTGGCGAGGTTGTGGAGAAACTGGAACCCTTATTCACTGTTGGTGGGAGTGTAAAATGGTGCAACCACTATGGAAGGCGGTATGGCGCTTCCTCAAAAAGTGGCAAATAGAAATACCTTTTGACCCAGCAATTCCACTACTGGGAATATACCCCAAAGAAACCATAGTTGCCACCCAAGCAGATATATGCACACCCATGTTTATGGTGGCTTTGTTCACAATAGCAAAGAGTTGGAAACAATCCAAGTGCCCATCAACAAACAAATGGATAGAGAAGCTCTGGTATATTTACATAATGAATACTATGCTGCATTGAAAAACAACGATCTCGTAAAATATTATACAAAATGGGTAACCTTGGAGCACATTATGCGGAGTGAAATATCTCAGCACAAAAGGACAAATATTGCATATTGCCATTGTTGTAAAACAGGACTGACATCAGGGTTGAGGGGAGACTGAGAGAGAGGGATAAATAATGTATACTGCATTGAAACAGATGAGGGAGAGACACATGGTATAAGGGATGTGTGATTAGGTATTATTGCCGTGACAGGAGTCCAGAATGAAGGCTGCATAGTGGAGTGGACTTGAGGGGAGGGATTGTATAATAATGAAAGAATTTTTCTTTTACTTTTCAAAGAGAAGAGCGAATTGGGGAGGAGGGGTGGGCAGGGAATAAAGTGCAAGAATGAATGAATGGAAAACTAAAGTTTCTGTAAACTTTCATTAAAATTAATTTAAAAAATAAATATATAAAAAATTAAAGAAATATATGTTTAATCAGTTTATTTGCTTCTTTAAAAACTGCCAATGGTTTCTTTCCTATTATACAACATAAATTTTATTTTGAAATAAAAAGAATAATCTATATTCAAGATTAGCCTGTACTGGAAAATTTGGAAGACAGCTACTTGGCCAACTGACTGGAAGCAATCCATATCTGCTCCCATTCTCAAGAAGGCTGATCCAACAGAGTGTGGAAATTATTTAATAATATCATTACTATCATGTGGAAGCAAAATATTGCTGAAAAGCACCCCAAAACAAACAGAACTGTATTTAGAACAGAGAGCTAGGTTTAGAAAAGGCTATGGAAAAAAAATTAAAAAAAAAAAAAGAAGAGGCTATGGGACCAAGAATATCATTGCTGATGTCAAAGTTTATTTGTGCTTTATTGACGGTGCAAAGGTGTATCAGGATCTATTGGTTGTTCCTCTAGCCCCTGCTAGCCCCATGCTGGCCTCCCCAAGTTCCCCTGGTCCAGGAAGACCTGGCCAGTCATACCAGCCTCTTCCCAGTTCTTGAACATGCCAAACTAATCCACCTCACACTCTTATATTTCCCTCTGCTTATAACATTCTACGTAGACGAACAGAAAGGGCAACCTAGGTAGAACTGTCAAGCATGGATGAGATTGGCACAGGATAGAGCACGGTTTAGGGCTGTTGTACATAGGGTCGCTATGAGTCGCAAACGACTCGACGGCACATAACAACTATAACATTCTAGGCTAAGTTCTTATCTAAATCCTTCTTGAGTAGAACTTGTACCCATCTCTCCCTAAATTCTTCCCCCTACTCTCTTCTCTATCCTAGCATTGTTCTCTACCTCTACAGGTTTGTTGGTTTCTTTTTTAAAGTCCTTGGGGATTTTTTTGCTGTCTTTTCAAGTATACTGTTGACTTTACAAGTGCAAAGGTGTATCTGTTTTACAGACACTGTATTCACAGTGACTAAACCTGAACTTGACACACAATGTTGTTGTTGTTAGATGCCTATGAGTCCATCAGGATTTATAGCAATCCTATTAACGGCATATCTGAACCCTTCCCTATCCTGTGCCATCCTCATCATCTCTGACAAACTTGAGCCCATTGCTGCAGTCATTGTGTCATTTTTATTGACTTGCAATCTGGGCTCTACCTGTATACTCTAATCACAGCATTACAGTTATATATAGTATAACTATAGTATCTGTTTTCCTCTGTTGTTTATAGATTGACACATAATCCTCAAAAATTGTTGAATGAATTCATCAATTCAATATACACTGGGTGAAGAGAATACAGAAATAACTGGCTATAGTCCTTCCCTTCCATATGATAGACTGGAGAAAAGGGAAAAAAAGTAAATCTGCCCTTGAAAAATTGTATGTACTCCAGTGGTGATTAGAACTGTTGGGAGTAGGAGCACAATGAGGCCCACATCTGTGAGTAGAAAGAAGGTTGTGCTTACATGACCCAGGGCCCCAGTATTAGAGAAGCATCACCCTAGAAGGAACTCAACAGGCTCCGTGTACTGCTTTTCATCCTCATAATCACAATGACTCAATTGTACCATTGAAGAAAGTGATGTTCTAAAAAGTTCAGTGATACATGGGGGCCTAGTTGTCATTATGTCAATTTCCACTCATGGTGATCCCATGGATTCAGAGTAGCACTGTTTGATATTAGTTTTAAGATTGTAATTTTTGGGCAACAGGTGTCAGGCCTTGCTTCTGAGGTGTCTCTAGGTGAGTTCAAACGGCCAACTTCTCAACTACTGGTCTAATTTCGAGTGCTTAATTGCTGGGGCCTCCGCGTACAGGCAAGGCTACCCATCTAGTAGATGTCTATAATACAAATTTTTGTTTTCTGATTTGAGTCTTAAATCTTTGATGAACGCCTAACTTAGGGGACACCCATAAGGAGGAGGTTGTAGACAGTAAATATTGTTGGTGAACGGACCAAGACGCCCCAGAAGCTCCAGCTGATCCTCCCTCAATTACAACAACCTCATGTTAAGGTAAAATTCCAATTGGTACCGTAAGGGCGGTTGGCAGAGCCAAAAAGAAATCTAAGCCCAGAAGCAGCTACAGGATAAGAATTTAGAAAGGTCAGCAGAGCAGTATGCTTTGCCAAAGGCAAAAGAACAAGAAGTCAGTAATCCTCGGGACAGACCCTTTGTGTGCCAGGCTGGTAACCAAGGTAGTTCAGAAAAGCCTGAAGGGTGTGGCTTGCTTTCCCGGGGTGCGGGGTGTGGCCAGGCACTGCCCAGGAAACTCCTGTTGTTCAGATGAAGGAAGTGCAACAGGAGAAAACGGGATTGTGAGCAGGGACCTCTGAGGTTTGGAGGGCTTGGTCTTAATATCTGGTCTCTCTTTTCCGGGGAGACTGCCATCTCTCTAGTAGCCCTTTTTCTTTGAGAGTATTTTCTCTGGAGGCCGTGGTCCCTAAAATTCCTTCTCCTTTAGAGATCTTTGGAGGAATTTGCTTTAAGTGATCCCTTCTTTGTTCTTCTCTTCTGGATGGGACAACTGAGTGCTTCCTGTTTCAGCCATGAAAAGATTCTCTCACATCTCCCCTTGAGATAGGTTGTGGTGGCTCAGTTCTATCTAATTCAACAATAAACTGCTCACAGTCCCAAAGCGCTGCTCCCGCTCGCAGAGAGCAGCTCCATGGCAACCAAAACATCACAACTCTACGGAGATCTCGCGAGAGCCAGGGTGTGCTCACGACCTAGGAGAGGAGAAGCGAGAGCGGAGAGCAAAGTGGGTGGAGTCCCAGCGCTTCCGAGATCTGTGTCCCGAGACCGCCCCTCCAGGCGGCGCCCCCGCGTGACTGTATTTTACATAATCGCCGCGGTGCGTCACTGTGGCGTACTCTCGTACAGACCGAATCAGAGTCATCAGGAGCGCCATGTTCTGCCCTTTTTCTCCTTGATCGACGTGGAAATGGACCAGTGAACCGGCCCCCACCACCACCGCGCCCACCCTGGTCCGCCCGTACCTGCCCGCCTGTCGCAGCCGTCTGCCTGTCGCCGCTGCTACCGCCACTGCCGGATTGTGCTTCTGACTGTCAGATAAAGCGGCGGGCCGCCGGCGGGGCAGTAAGACAGCCCGGCTGGACATGGCGGCGCTCTACGCCTGTACCAAGTGCCACCAGCGCTTCCCCTTCGAGGCGCTGTCTCAGGGGCAGCAGCTGTGTAAGGTGCGCGGGGCTAGGGTGGCAGCGGAGAACTGGGGAAGCGGCAGGCGCGGCCCGGAGCTCCCGGTCCTGCGGGAACGGTTGGCGGCTTCCCGAGCTGGGTGCGGCAGGCCTACCTTTCTGTGCAGCCGCGCCCGCCCGGCTGGGGGCCATTGGGGCACGTGGAAGGATCCCAGGGCCGGTGCAGGCCCCCGTGGCCGGCGTATCTCGATGCTTAGCAACCGCGGAGGATTGTTCTCCCACAGTGTGAGGTTGTGGAGGGGAGAGCTAGTCCCTTGTCTGTCCCTGACTGGCGCTTCCCCATTCACCGTTCACAGTCTCCCTCATTTCAGACCAAGGAATCCCCGCTGTCCCGTCTGGGACTTAACTCGGGAGTTCGGTGCTGCCAGGAAGGACCTTCCCGAGCTCAGGCGCCTCACGGTCATTCACTGTGGATGCGGAGGTGGCAAGGCTCCTAGAGCAAAGGCGCACAATTAAAATCACATGAAGCATAATTCATTAGCCACTTGATGGGCTACGGGATTGATAATCTTTCACCCCTGAGGGTCCAAGTTCTCTTTTTATATTAAGTTGCTTCATCCCACTCTGCCTGTTCAAATGACTAGAGATGCTGTGAGGCGATAGTTAAGTCACCAAACCGGCCAGAGAGGGAGGTTGAAATCATCCCTGGTTAATCTCGAGGTTGTGTCTCCTACAAGGATGTGTGTCACACATTAAATGTGTGTCACCCAGATAGTCTCAGGAGGCTGTGATATGAGAATTTCAAGGGCCACTTTTTGGATTAAAAATAAGTGTGTATATCAATTTATATAGACAACACTATATCTTGTTTTAATTCAACACTACACTTGTGAACTTGCTCAGAATCCCAGTGGTCTAATTGGGACTATACTTCAGGGCTTCACACTATCAGTTTGGAGCTTATTGAAGCATACATTTGTTTTACAATTTATGACTAGTTTCCTGTTAATTCTTATTTAATGCTTCTGTTAACGCTGCAGTGTCAATGTTACAGAGGATAAAATCTAGGCCCAGTTTGTTTAAGTGACTCACCTGAAAACAGTGGCTTTGCTAGGACTAGTATACCCGGATCTCTTGCCTCTTATTTAAGGCTATTTCCATGTGTAACCACCTTTAAAATTATATTCATTTCAGGAATGTCGGATTGCACACCCTGTTGTGAAGTGCACCTACTGCAGGACTGAATACCAGCAGGAGAGGTACTGCTTTTATTGACAGTGCAAGATGTTAATTGGCTTTTCTACCTAAAATCTGTAATCAGCTGTATTTTACTCTTGTTTTTCTTTCTTCCAGTGGAGTCTGTTCTAGCTCATAACAACCTTACATGTTACAGATCAAAACATGACCCATCCAGTCCTGTACCATCTTCACAGTCTTTGCTATGTTTGAATCAGTTGTTTCCTACTGTGTTAGGGTTTGGGTTTTTTTTTGTTTTGTTTTGTTTTGTTTTTATTTTTTCAATTTTACATTGGTTTGCATTCAGTTTGTATACATTATGTTTTACATTATCCTTCATTCACATTGGGTTTCACACTATCCTTCCTCATGTTGTGTTTCATACATTCTCATTATGTTTTATGAAATCAGTCACCATTAAGCCATGCTCATCATTACCCTGTCTTTCCAGATCGCTGCTGGATCTTTTCCATTTCCTTTGCTCCCTACTGTATTAGTTTTAATATACAAATCTGTAATCTGTTACATTTCATTATATGTTGTGTATGATGGCATTGGAGCTGACTCATAGCTGACCCTTCAGTAGGCTTATAGCTGCAGTAAATTACACAGGAGGAGATTGCTCATCATTTCATTGTGTTTTGTGTACGATGGTTTTGGAGCTGACTCATAGCTGACCCTTCAGTAGGTTTATAGCTGCAATAAATTACACGGGAGGAGAGTGTTCATCTTTTTGCCTTTGGAGCAGCTGGCAGCACAATTCCTTACGACTAAGCCACCAGAGTTCCCTATTTCATTGTATAGGTATATGATTACAATCATTTTTCTAATAATGATATTAATAAAAATATGTGAGCCAACTACTTCATGCCTTATCCCTTTATCTTCCTCCATTTTAAATAGCCATTTTTAAATTTGCCTGCCCCTGTCATATTAGGTATAGGATAGGAGAGGGCTCAGATCTGACTGGTCAACACCTAATAAAAATCAAACCAGTACTAAGCATAGTCTTTTCTGTGAAGAATCTTCTGTTCCAATTAGAACTTTGAGCTTCTGCATCTGTAAGTAGAGTCTAGTCCAAAGCAAGCCATCAGATTGCAGCAGTCCACACTAGCTCACAGCACAAAATATCTCTTAATCTAATTTGGTTCTGGTTAACTCATCAGTAGCCATCTATGACTAGGTCCAGTGGGCACCAGTAACAAACTCCTGTGTCCACAAATATTCTGTATTTCAAACTGGTTAGTCCCCTCTTGCTTCTGAGGTCATCAACCCTTCTTCTCTTATCCATATATTTGTACATGCCAGCTCAGCGGTATCTGTAGAACATGTCCAGGCCGATCTCTTCTTTGCTGGATGCCTCCTACTTTCACCTACTGAGTGGACCCAGGTGGTCACTACAAGTGAGCATACTCACCAGCTTCCTTTTCTTTCAATCCGAGAAGGGGTACACTTGATGGACGCTAGCTATCCCTTGCCTTAATGCAACCACTAATGAATGCAATTTGGTACTTCCTTAGAAAGTTGAGAATAGAAATACTATTTGATGCAGCAATCCCACTACTGGGTATATGTTATTAAATGCCATCGAGTTGACTGCAGCTCTGTGAGCAGCAGATCTGAACCTTGCCTGATCCTGTGCCATCCTCACAATCTCTGATAACGCTTGAGCCCATTGTTAAACTCACTGTGTCATTCCATTTTGTTGAGGATCTCTCTTCCCCTGTTTCTCTGACCCTCCACATTTCCCACCATGATATCCTTTTCTAAAATCTGCAAGGAGTTTAATCTTTTTCTCTCAGACTTACATCATTGTGCTCTCTACAAAGTTCTACCTTCAGTATTTCTCCAGGACAGAGCGTCCCTTTTAGTATAGTATATCTGGTGAAGTTTTAACTGTATTTGGATTTACACACTTTCTATAATTTATAATAACCTGTATTCAACATCAGTATCCATGAAATACAGTCAGTATAAGCCTTGGCACATAAACCTTTTAAAGAAATTCCCAGTTTTATCTTCACTCTCCACCCTTAGTACCTAATTAACTATGCCATTCATATTCACTTGGCCTTGGGCCTCTGCCAAAATTTTGTCTTAAGCCAAAAGTGTCTTTTCACCTTTCCTTCTCTCCTATACAACAACAAAAATAACCATCTAACTTGTACTTCCTGTCTCCTTATTTTTTAAAAAAACCCTTGTTTATGAGTCTGGAATCATTGTATTGAATTCCTCTGCTTCTGACACTACCTGTAAAAAGTATAGGCAATGTGGGAACGGCTGAGTCTGACCTTTTATTAACTTCCATCTCAGTCAGCAGCATCCAGAATACAAGGTCAGGGGGTGGGCGGCAGTGGGATTGAGATGGCCATGGAAGGGGATGTGGAGTTGGAACTGGAGACTGAGACCAGCAGCCCTGAATGGCCTCCCACAGAAGCATGATAGTGGTGTAGCAGACCTGTAGTGAGTCACCGACTATGCAGAGAAGATTTAGAGTTCCAATCTAGAGATGACCATGTTTGGAGACAGGTAGTCCAGGGAGCAGAAGGCCAATCAGTAGTAGTAGGGAGAAGAAAGTGCAGAAGTCACCATCAAGAAGGAAGATCTGGCACTGGTAATGACCAAGATGAAGATATCAAGAGCAGCAGTGGAATGGAGATTGCAGGAGCACCTGGGCCATGTAGTGGAGGCTCAGTTTGCCCAACCAACTGATTTGTGCCTTTGCAAACATACCCACTAGATTAATAATAGAAATGTGTTTGTCTTTTCAATTTAACCCCCCAATAGAAACAAAAAACACCTAAAATACAAAATCAATTCCCATGACATGGTTTCTGTGCTCCTGCATCTATTTCCAATACCATTCGTACTCCTCTACTACTGGGTCTGAAATCTGTCTCATTAGCTATGCAGTCCTCTCAGAACCATAATCAATATGGTGTTTATTAGGGATGTTAACAAATTCTAATTCCTCATTTAGGACAGCTTCCCAAGCTTGGGAAGCTTTAGGCCAGTGTCTTATTCCTGCCAATGATGACATCTCCATCATGTCCTCTAGGAAGTTTGGGCATAGGCCCCTGGCTCTGACTGTGAGGCAGCAGTCCCAAGTCAGCTTTGTCTCCTTTCATTCTCTGATTCTCTGCTTTGGCTGCTGCTGTTTTCATGTAGGTCTCAATAAAATTCAGGAGTCTCTGCCGCCAAAGGACATGCACTACATTCTCTGTTTCATCTATCTTCCTTTACGGATAGTGAGAGTTCCATTTTTTGCTGTTAACTCTGCTCAATTTAAACTTGATAGGATGGCAAAACTAACCAGTCCCATCATGAGTCTGAATAGCTTGGCTATCCCCACCCATTTATATGGTGGAAATCAAAGCTAATGAACTAAAAATGTCATTTTGCCTACACTATAATTATCAATTACATTTAATGCACAGTTCTTTAATCAAGTACATTATAATACACAAGATTGTCCATATTCCTTCTTTTAATACATTGAAGGATATACTCTTATACATTTTGTCCTTTTTTATTCATTGATTGCTTATATAAATTTTTGTTAACTGATTTTTCAGATTCTTGACCAATTTGTATTATAGATATAATCTTCTAGACAATAAGAAATCAGTCCCACAATAGAAAAACTTTAACTTCAGGTTCTGTTGTGTTTTAATATACAGAATTTGAAGAATTGATAAGCCAAAAGAAGATGCTTTTGGAAATGTGACAATTCTGTAAAGGCTTTAGTAGCCTAATTCTATCCGAAACTCATTTGCCTTTATGCTTTGCTTTCTTGGCTTTCATACTTTAAAAAAAAAAAGTGGGGGGGAAAACACTTACTTTGAATTTTGGGGAACTTTTTAATAGCAAAGTATTTATTGATATAGCAAGTTCAACTTTGTGGAACTATAGTTGTAGACACTCTTACTTGAACAGACTGCTAGTTTACAAATATACTAGAAACCTCCTTTTAATCATCTTCATGTTCATTCTGAAGTATTTTTCTCATCTTTGGATATTTTAAATGTAAAAAAGTTAAAATGTAAAGAATTAGAACTGAACATCCATCTACCCACCATTTAGATTCAGCGATATATTATTAACCATCCTTTCATCAGTCCATCTTATTTTTTATTCATTTTTAAAGTTTCAGACTTTTAGTACACTTCCATATCCTTCACCATATATATCATTAACTAGAATTCAATATTTGTTTGTAATTCTTTATTGTTTTAGGGCTAAGATTTGCATACAAGGAAAGGATAAGTCTTATCAAAGAGCATGCATCCATATAACCTCTTTTAAAAAGAGAACATTATTATCACCTGTCAGGTCCTCTCATGCATCATCTTAGTAAATCCCAATATCCCTTACTCCTAAGCAACCACTGTTCTGTGTTCTTTCTATCACATTCTAAGTTCTACTTGTTCTGGAGCATCATGCAAATGAAATTGTGCAGAATATACTCAAGGAGCTTTATGTTTAGAGTTTTTATGTTCTGACTTTTCCAGTTAGGTCTAAGATAATAAAATTTTTTGTATATGATTAGCTGCTCTTGATAGGTGCCATCAAATCAAGTACAAGTAATGGCACCACTATGATTGACTATGTAAAGATGTTTGACTATGTGGATCATGACAAGTTGTGGCTGACATTGAGAAGAATGGGAATCCCAGAGCACTTGATTGTGCTCATGCAGAACCTACACTTGGATCAGGAGGCTGTTGTGCGAACAGAGCAGGGGAGCACTGAATGGTTTGGAATTGGGAATGGAGTGCATCAGGGTTGTATTCTATCTCCATATCTGTTAAATTTATATGCTGAGCAGATTATCCAGGAAGCTGAACTCTGTGAAGAGAAATGTGGCATCAGGAGTGGAGGGAGACTCATCAATAGCCTTGCATTATGCAGCTGTCAAAACCTTACTTGCTGAAAGTGAGGAGGACTTTAAGCACTTGTTGCAGATCAAGAATGCAGCCTTCAGTATGAATTGCATCTCAATATCAATAAAACAAAGATCCTTACCACTGGACCAGTAGGCAATGTCATGATTGATGGAGAGGAGATTGACACTGTCAACCATTTCATCTTTCTTGGATCCACAATTTACACCATTGGTATGACCAGTCTGGAAATAAGGAGATGCATTGTGCTGGGAAAATCTACAGTTAGGGGTCTTTCCAAATTATTGAGGAGTAGTGATGTCACTTTGAGGACTAAGATGCATCTGATTCAGGCCATAGCCTTTCCAATTACTAGTTATGCATCTGAGACCTGGACATTGAATAAGGATGACAGAAGAAGAATTGATACCTTTGAGCTGTGGTATTGGAGAAGAGCACCAAACATCCCATGGATGGCCAAGAAAATGAATAGATAAGTCTTGGAAATGGTGCAGCCGGAGTACTCTTCTGGAGGCAAGAATGATGAGACTTTGCCTCACATACTTTGGACATATTGCTAGGAGGGGCTATTGCTTGGAGAGGGACATGATGTTGGAAAGGACAAAGGGTCGGCGAAGGAGAAGGCAGCTCTCAACCAGGTGGATTGACACGATGATTGTGGAAATGGACTCTTGTGTGTCAGGAAGTGTGAGAATGGTGTAGGACAGGGTTCAGATCTTTTGTTCATAGAGTCGTTGATAGCACCTAACAACAACAACATAGAAAAGAGATCTGAGCCCTGCCTTATTCTTGCTATATTTATCATCTCTGATACACTTGAGCCCATTGCTGCAGTGACTGTCAATCTATCTTGTTGATGGTCTTCCCCTCCTTCCACCTTTCCAAGCATAGTATATATTTCCTCTCCTGCCAACATGTCCTCAGTATGTGAGACTAAGCTTCTCCAGCCTTGCTTCCAAAGAGCATGCTGGCTGCACTTTTCCCAAGACATATCTTTTTGTTTTCCTGACAATCTGCAGAATATTTAAAATTCTTCTCCAACACCACAAGTCAGATGCATCAGTTCTTCTGTCATTCTTATTCATTGTCCAGCTCTGAGATGCAAAGGAATTTATTGAAAAGACCGTGACATTAGATAGGAACTTTTAATTTTCTAATTTTAACTTTGCACTGTACTTAAAAATTCACTTAAGATGAATCATAAAAATACTTTCTTTGTATGCTAAGATGTCCGGAACATTTGCTTATGTAGACATACACCTCAGTTCTTTAATAATAAATCAGTATAAATCAAAATGTTGTTCAACATCATAGTAACACTGATGGTAATTCTCTTTGTAGAGGTTTTTTTCCCCCTCAATATGCTTAATTTCTTGTACTACCTTTTGGAAATGGCATAAAATTTCTTTGGGAAATATTTTGTGTGTTTGGTTTTTCTGTCATTTTCCTAAAGATTGTGTGGGAAAATAATCACAAAATAGAAGTAGACTGTGTTAAAAAATATTTAATGCTATTTTCTTTTTAGCTCTAAAATGTTTAAAATGAATTTTTTTAAGGTAAAAGGTAAAGATCAGTTTATTATAAAGTTAAATCTCAGAGGGACACACCTCCCTCCTTGAAAGGAAACATGGAGGAGAGGCCTGTTTAAAATACTCTTGCACATCAAGCATGTCATTTTTCCTAGCTTATTGACAAATTGGAAATATTGACAGAAAATTTAGTCAGAACTTCAATTTCTCTGAGATGGTAGATGAAAGTTAACACACTTGACTGTTAATGAAATGGTTGGAGGTTTGAGTCCATCTAAAAGAAAGGCTTGGTGGCCTACTCTGGAAAAGTGGCCTTTGAAAATAGAGCACATGCTGCTATGTTACACATGCGGTGGCCAGAAGTTGGAATTGAATCGACAGCAACTAGGCACTTAAGAGACAAGAACTTGGATAGAGTAAGGTCAACATGGTTATACTCTCTTGACTTTGTATACACACATACTTTCCCTCATATTACATTTTCCAGCTATTCATCTTTAATGAAGAGAACTTATTTGACACAATGCCTGTAGTAATAGATTGAAATAGTTCAGAGCCCATGAGGATGGTACAGGATAGGGCTCCAGGGTCACTATGAGTCAGTCAGCTTGACGATACATAAAAATGATGACAACTATCTATTTAAATCTAACGAGTTGTTTTTGAGGGTTCTTTCTTAAGTGATAATCTTACTTAGTGATACTTGGATGGGACATAAGGAGAAATAATTCATTCTGCATTTTAACTCAAGCCCTGTTAGAAGGCCCCATTTTATCTGAGATAATAAAATTGTCATCAGCATATGTGTGAGAATAAAGAGTGTCGCTGACCAGATAATCAAACTTTGGTTGCCCTGCCATGTATTTTACCTTATGTTCATGTTCCTTAGGCAAAAAGAAAAGTCTGTTTTCAAGTATTCTAAATACAACAATTTTTCTTTTTTAGATAATTTTAATGAGCATTTAAAGAGATTTTGGATTTCCATTCATTCACTGCTGCACTTCTCTCCCCCCCCCCAAGTTCGCTCCTCTCTTTCAAAAGTAAAAGAAACACTCCTTCCCTGGTACACAGTCCCCCCGCACCCCTCCCACCGCCCCACATACATTTCACTATGCAACCTTAATTGTGGACTCACATACATCACTTTAAAATTATTCACTCCCTCATCTGTTTCAGTGCAGTATACACAATTTATCCAGTTTTTCTCAGTCTTAACCCAACCCTGATATCAATCCCATTTTACAACAGTGGCACCATGCAATATTTGTCCTTTTGCGACTGAGATATTTCACTCAGCATAATGTCCTCCAGGCTTACCCATTTTGAATAATATTGCATGAGTTCCTTGTTTTTCAATGCAGCGTAGTATTCCATTGTGTGAATATACCACAGCTTCTCTATCCATTCCTTTGTTGATGGGCATCTGGGTTGTTTCCAACTCCTTGCTATTGTGAGCAGAGCCGGGATAAACATGGGTGTGCATATATCTGCTTGGATGTCAGTTATGGTCTCTTTGGGATATATTCCCAGTAGTGGAATTGCTGGGTGAAGTGGTATCTCTATTTGCAACTTTTTGAGAAAGCGCCATACTGCCTTCCACAGTGGTTGCACCATTTTACACTCCCACCAACAGTGAATAAGGGTTCCAGTTTCCCCACAATCTCGCCAGCATTTGTTGCTTGCTGTTCTGTTCAATTTTGCCATTCTGACTGGGGTGAAATGATATCTCATAGTTGTTTTAACAATTTTTTTCTTATTAAAAGCCTTATGTCTCTTCTTTAACAGTAAAACCAATACAATATGCAAGAAGTGTGCTCAGAATGTGCAGCTGTATGGAACGGTAAGTGGCATCTCCCTGGATCCTTACATTTCTGAGAGTTACTAATGTAGTTATAATTTTTATTAGAAGAACAAGTTATATGTTTTAGTTTTTTTAACCTGATAGTTAATGTTAAGGGGTTGTGTGTGTATAGTCACTCTGTTGGGATGATGATTCTGTTTTTCCTTGAAGGGCTTCAGTGTCCAAAGAGGAAGGGATGGCTAATCCTCTGACTTGCCCTCTGTTTGCCATTGAGTATTTCATTTGATGAATGACTTTATCTTCCTTTTCTCTTAGTGTTAGGGGTCTCTGTATGTATATCCTTAATAGGCATTCTCCCAACATGTTTGCACACTGATAATTGCAGAGTGACCTCTTCAGAAATTTGAAAGTACTGCTGGTTTCTCCAAAGAGCTGGTTCTGTTGAATTTCTCATAAAAGTCCTAGCATATACATCTAGGAGTTTTTGGTTTTCATTCATTGTAAAAGCAGTAGCCTTGTGCAGGAAAACACTTTAAAGAACTGAGTTTCATTTGATCAGTGAAAAGTCAAATTTATGAAGTTCAAAATACATTTTTATTTTGACTAATGGTCTATGTAAGGAGGCCTGGTGGCATGTTACTGTTTTCTGGTGGCCTACTGATAAGTTGCACTGCAGCCTGGAAGGCATGGAGTTCATATCCAGCAGCTGCAATCTCCAGTGAGTCTCCTTCTTTGTGATTAACTACCTCTGAAAACCCACTGGAGGTTCCTCTATGGAATGATTCCAATTCGAAGGTACACAGCAACAATGGACTATGTAAGGAGCCCTGGTGGTATAGTGTATATCATGTCAGGCTGCTAACCAAAAGGCTCAGAGTTCAAATCCATTAGTTTCTCCATAGGAGAAAGATATATGGTCTGCTTTTGTAAAGATTTATAACCTTAGAAACCCAGTGGTGTGAAGCAGCTCCCTGATGGTGGGCTTGGAGTTTTTGTTTTAGTGGACTGTATAATATAAATCATTACTTTAAAAATGCAATAGTATTTTATAATTTTCTTATTTGACCTTTTTCCTCCCTCTTCCTTCAAGCCCAAACCTTGCCAATATTGCAACATAATTGCTGCATTTATTGGCAATAAATGCCAGCGTTGTACAAATTCGGAGAAGAAGTATGGACCACCATATTCTTGTGAACAGTGTAAACAACAGTGTGCGTTTGACAGAAAGGATGATAGAAAGAAGGTAAATCCCTGTGGGTCATCTTTTTTTTTCTTTTTCTTTCCATGAAATGAAGTTGTGTTAAAAAGATATACAATCAAGAAAGATGTCTTAGTTTCTTCCCTGGTTGTGTTGTTGACCTTGAAGATTTTCAGGTTTTGTTTTTTTAATTTAAGAAATGATGGGCCATTGTATTCTAACATAACCTGAATTACAGTATTCCTGTATATAAGTGGATTCATGTTAGCAAGTGTCTGTGGAACTCTTATGAGGATATTGTACCTTCTCCAGGGTAGTATTATAATGGCATCACAAGCATTCCTGTTGAAGCTTTTAAACCCACAAGACAATATCATAGAGGGAAGTTTTGTGTAGTGGTTCTACCTTAGAGGAATCAGTGGTTTAGAGTCTCAAGTACTTCTGCGTAATGCCTCCAGTGACTTCTGTTGCACTGAGAGCTGAGTCCAAACTTCTTCCACAGCCTGCAAGACCTGTGCCTGGCTCTTCAGTCTCATCTTCCATCCTGTTTCCCATCTTTCACCATCCAGCCATGGTCCTCCTTTTACTCTTTCAGACATGCCAATCTCTATCCTGCATTCACACTGACTATTCTTCTTAAAAATCTTTTTGCATTGATTGTCCTTCTGCTTGTTGTTGTTATGTGCCATCGAGTCGCTTGTGACTCCTAGCGACCTTGTGTACAAGAGCCCTAAATGCCATTCTATCCTGTGCCAACCTCGCCACTCAAACACACTCATTCCCACCACTCCAGTCACAGAATCGATCCATCTCATTGAGGGTCTTCCTTTCCTGCGCCATCCCTCAACTCTCCCAAACATGATGTCCCTCTCCAAGGACCAGTCCCTCCTTGCAACATGCCCAAAGTATATCAGACAAAGCCTCAGAATCCTTGACTCCAAGGATCATTTTGGCTTCATCCTCTCCAGGTCAAAGTTGTTGGTTCTCCTAGCAGTCCATGGTATATTCAGTACTCTTCTCCAGCACCACAGCTCAAAGGCATCAGTTCTCTTTCTATCATCCCTATTCACTGTCCTTCTGCTTAGTTCAGCTTTTACAGAGTTTTCATCACTGACTTCTCATGTCAGGTCTCCGCTTAGATACCACTTGCTCACAGAGACCTTCTCTAACTAGTCCTCTCAGTAACCCTATCCCCTCACCTTATTTTATTTTCTCTGCAACATGTAACACTATGAGAAGTGATCTTTTTTTTCCACCTCACTAGGATGTGTCTGTCTTTTTCTCTGCTTTCTTTCTAATGGCCAGCACGTGATAGGTGCTCCTTTGATGAGTGAAAGAATACAGTTCAGAAACTCTCTTTGTCAATGCTTTTAAGTACTTAGTCTTTTCAATGACTTAGAACCAAGTTAATTTATTTACAATGGGAAGATATAATTTATCAGTGGCTGGAAGACTCCTGTAGCCTGCCAAGGCTTGGCCTTTGGGCAACTAGGGTAGCTACCTCTGATTAGGCTGCCAGAATTCTCAGGTCATTGGAGATCATAGTAAAAAGTTTGAATTTTATACTAGATACTATGAGAAAACCACTAGGTTTTAGAAACAGGAGGGATAACATCAAATTAGATTTAAGAAGCCTCCTTTGATGCCTTTGTGGCACAAGAGTGGGCTGGGGGATAATTGGGGGGAGGCTCTTGCAGTCATGAGAAAAGAATTATTTCACTGAGATAGAGATAGTGGTATTGAAAAGAAGTTGATTAGACTCAGACTGATTTACTTGGCTGCTGGGATATGGGGTGGGAGGCAGAGAAGCTTTTGCTGACAAAGGAGTTTGAAAAACACTAGCATAAAGGATATATGGCTTACTCACGTTTAAGACGAGCATCAACCAAGTTTCAGAATAAATGAAAAGCTCGAGAATTTCATAAAATACCAGGACACTTCTCTCCCCAGCTGAGAGGATTCTAGCCAGCCCTGCTGCCTCACCTCTAACTCTAGCTGTCCTACAAAGGGTTTTGTATGAAGATTTTATTTATTTATTTTTTCCAGCATTTAAGACTGTTTTCTCTCTTCTCTCTCCTTCTGGCAGCATGCCACAAGGTTTGGGTCCACCCTTGACTTTGCAGTGCAAGGGTGTTTCTCTTCCTTTCTTCACTTCTCTCTTTATCTCTTCCACACAGCCTATTTTTCACCAACCATGCCTCCTTTGCATTACCTCAAAAAACCTTTCCTGGCCCCAATCACTGAGCCACCACCGAGGACTCAGCTGCCTCCCCCTCGAGCCCCCTCGCTTCCCGACGCTCCGTCCCCCCTGCCCGCCTTCTCCTGCCACCGCCTTCCGCAGGCCGTTTCCACTGAGGAAAAGGAATCGTATCATATGTCCGCTATCCAGAACCTCCACTCTTTCGACCCCTTTGCTGATGCAAGTAAGGGTGATGACCTGCTTCCTGCCGGGACTGAGGATTATATCCATATAAGAATTCAACAGAGAAACGGCAGGAAGACCCTTACAACTGTCCAAGGGATCGCTGATGATTACGATAAAAAGAAACCAGTGAAGGTGTTTAAGAAGAAGTTTGCCTGCAATGGTACTATAATTGAGCATCCAGAATATGGAGAAGTAATTCAGCTACAGGGTGACCAACGCAAGAACATATGCCAGTTCCTTGTAGAGATTGGACTAGCTAAGGACGACCAGCTGAAGGCTCATGGGTTTTAAGTGCTTGGGGCTCACTGAAGTTTAAGTGAGGATTTCCTTACAATGAGTAGAAAATTTCCCTTCTGTCCCTTGTCACAAGTTTAAAACTTCACAGCTTGTATAATGTAACCATTTGGGGTCCACTTTTAACTTGGACTAGTGTAACACTTTCATGAACTGAAAAGAGCCAAAAAAAAAAACCAAAAACAAAAACCTTTCCTATTTGTTTTGCTAAATTATATTTTTAAAAAAGACTGCTTTCAAACATAATACTGTTAAGAAAATTATAGAAGAAGCCATATATTGGAAAAATATTTGCAGTACACGTATCTGACAAAGAGTTTCTATCTAAGCGATGTTAAGTTCCCTCAAAACAAAGATCAACAGCCCAACTAAAAATAAGCAAAATATTTGAAGAGACATATTGTAAAAGAACATACATAAATGTCCAATAAACACATGAAAAGATGTTCAATATCCTGAGCAACAGAATATCTACAATTAAAAAGAACTGATGGTGAAAAAGATTAATGAAATGTTAGACATTCCATATGTTGTACAAACATATGGAAGGACAGTTTGTAATTTATTTTTCTTGTAGTGCTTTTTTTTTAAATTTTATACTGGTTTACCCATAAGATCCATATACGTTGCCCCTCACACTGGATCCCCCCAACTCCCCCAAACTGTGCAACCCCTTGATTCCCCCGCCCATCCTTACCCCTCAGTTTCCCCCTTCCCATCTTAGATCTTCATATACATTTTACTAGATAACTACTTTCACAGTAATAGTCTTAAACAAATTTGTCTTTATGGGACTGAGTTATTTCACTTAACATAGTGATTTACAATGGATAAAGATTTTAGAAGGTGGTAGAAGCCACGTTTTTAGCATTGTACCCCTAGTATCTGGTGTGGGGCCACTTCTACCCAAAGAATTTGACTCTTCATAAATTTCTTAAAGTGCTATTGTAGGTTACCTACCACCCAGTCTCAGCCCCTGGAAGTTACTCAGCCATTGGTCTTTGTCTGAGAACATGCTTTTCATCTGAGAAAAAGTATCCAGTGTACCATTTTGTGAACCATTTAGAAATAAAGACACTACATTTCTTCTTCCATCTTTTGTCCCTGTTGAGCTTTCCTTAATTAGCACCATGGAGATGTTTTTGTGTTGAAATTCTTGTGGGAACTTTGCTCTGGGCTATGTTTGCTAATCAGAGGAAAGCAAAACAAAAAAGATAAAATTAATAAGGTACATATTACTTATTAAGCTACTTTTATGTGCCTGGCATCCTGCTAATTGCTTTACACCACATCATGAGTCTTTGGTGTATGTTGTGAATAATTTTAACAGCCCTTGAATACTTGGAGCAGCCCTCAGTTATAGGGGCTGTTATCCTCATTTTACAGACAAGGAAACAGCCTGAGAGAGCTCAAGTAATTTTCCCAAGGTGCCACAACTTAGAAGTGGCAGCACTGTTCCCTAATTCAGGGGTCTGGCTCCCAGCATCTTCATCCTAAGCCTCTGGACTATATATCCCTCTGTATTTATCTTTCTCTTCTGGTCTTACAGGTAGATGGGAAACTGCTGTGTTGGCTGTGCACACTTTCATACAAACGAGTCCTTCAGAAGACCAAAGAGCAGAGGAAGCATCTGAGCAGCTCTTCCCGCTCTGGCCACCAGGAGAAGGAGCAGTACAGTCGACTGAGTGGTGGTGGCCATTACAACAGGTAATGCTAAGTAAGATACGTGAGACAGGGCTGTGGGTGCTTAGGACTAGAGAGGTGAGATACACTGCTCTCACAACAGTCATGAAAATGTCATTTTGTATGTATGCGTTTTCCTATTTTCTTGGTACTAGCCTAGAGAGGACATTTGCCATATTTTACAACTTAGGTACAGTTAAAAGACCACAGAGAGACTCATGAATTTGTATTGTGTCAAAAACTGTACAAACGAGAACTTATTCCACTTTCACATTTAAAATTTTCCTTCACTTTCTGAGGAGCGAAAGCTTTTTATATGGCTAGGAAGGTAAATTTGTCCTCAGGGGATACAGGCCAAAAGATGTCCTTTTGCTGTTGTGTTAACTTTCCTTATAGAGTTGTTAAGAGTTAATGGTTTTTGGCTTTTCTACGAAGATGGCGCCGAAAGCCAAGAAGGAAGCCCCTGCCCCTCCCAAAACTGAAGCCAAAGCAAAGGCATTGAAGGCCAAGAAGGCAGTCCTGAAGGGCGTCCACAGCCAAAAAAAAAAAGAAGATCCGGACGTCACCCACGTTCCGGCGGCCTAAGACGCTGAGACTCCAACGACAGCAGCCCAAATACCCCCGGAAGAGCGCTCCCAGGAGAAACAAGCTTGACCACTATGCCATCATCAAATTTCCCCTGACCACTGAGTCAGCCATGAAGAAGATAGAAGATAACAACACACTTGTGTTCATTGTGGATGTCAAGGCCAATAAGCACCAAATTAAACAAGCTGTAAAGAAGCTCTATGACATTGATGTGGCTAAGGTCAACACTTTGATTAGGCCTGATGGAGAGAAGAAGGCCTATGTTCGACTTGCTCCTGATTATGATGCTTTGGATGTTGCCAACAAAATTGGGATCATCTAAACTGAGTCCAGCGGGCTCATTCTAAATATAATGAATTTTTCTCACCATAAAAAAAAAAAAGAGTTAATGGTTTTTGATTCAGTCATGCTGTATTGGAACTTGGACAAGTTTTCTTAATCTGTTAAAATATGGGAAATAATAATAATATTACCCCATACAGTTCTTAAGAAGATAAATAGAGGGGAGCTCTGGTGGCCTAGTGGCAAGGAGCTGCAACTACAATCCCAGAGGTGCACGGTTCGAATCCACCAGATCCTCTGCCGGGGAAGGAGGGACAATCTCCTCCTGTACCAGTCAGATCTGATTTGACGGTATGCTCACACAAAAATAATAATAATTAAAAAAAGAAGATAGATAGTGTGGGCATATGCATGGTTTAAAATCAGAAAGGGTGTGCATCAGGATTGCAGCCTTTCTCTGTACGTATTCAGTCTATGCTAACAAACTAATTGGAGAAGCTGGATTATATAAAGAAGAATGTGGCATCAGGATTGGAGGAAGACTCATCAACAACTTGGCATTATGCAGATAATTCAACCTTGCTTGCTGAAAGTGAGGAGACTTGAAATACTTGCTGCACAAAAATCAAAAGACTTCAATATGAATTACATCTCAGCATGAGGAAAACAAAAATCCTCACCACTGGACCAATAGACAGCTATCATGATTGAGAAAAAGTCAGTGATTACATTTTACTACCATCAACATCCATGGTAGCAGCAGTTAAGAAATGCAAAGATGGCTTGCATTGGGAAAGTATGTTGTCAAGGACCTCTCCAAAGGGTAGAGTAACAATGTCAGTTCAAAAGCCAATGTGTGTCTGATGCAAACCACAGCCTTTTCAGTTGTTTCCTATGCATGTGAAAGTTGGACAATGAGTAAAGAAGATCAAAGAAGAATCAAAGCCATTAAATTGTGGCATTGGAGAAGAGTACTGACTATCCCATGGGCTGCCAAAAGGAAAAAGAAGTCTTGGAAAAAGTGCAACCAGGGTCTTCCCGGAGACAAAGCTGGTGAAACTTCCTCACATACTTTGGGTATGTTGTTAGGAGGTCCCATTACTTGGAAAGGTGGAGGGTTAGTGAAAAAAGAAAAACCTCAATAGGGTGGATTGACACAGTGACTGTAACCGTGAGATTGAGTATATTAGAAATGATGAGGATAGAGAAAAATTCAGATGATGTGTTCTTAAGGTAAGTTGTAGTTGACCTGACAGCATCTAACAACAGCAACAGTGTGGGTAACAGCAACTGTGGGTAATCTATTGGATGAAAAAGGAGCATTTGTAAGCATCTTAAATCAGAGCTGTTGAAATGGGAATCTTAACTGAAGCATGTGACAAAAAGATAAAAATGGGAGAGGAAAATATAGTAAGATACTTTGGAAGGAAATTTATAAGAAATTATTTAGTGTGAACGGATGTTGTTGTTGTTGTTAATGTGCTGTCAAGTTGCTTGTGATTCATAGCGACCCTATGTACAACAGCCCTAAACTCTGCCCTGTCCTGTGGCAATCACACTGTCTCCGATACACCCATCCCAATTACCCCAGTTATTGAATCAGTCTACCTCATAGAGGGCCTTCCCCTCCTGCTCTCTCCCTCCACCCTCCCAAGCATGATGTCCCTCTCCAAGGACCAGTCCTTCCTTACAACATGTCCAAAGTATGTCAGACAAAGCCTCAGAATTCTTGCCTCCAAGGAGCCGCCCTGTTTAACCCTCTCCAGGATGAACCTGTGTGTTTTCTTAGCAGTCCATGGTACATTCAACACTTCTCCAGCACCACAGCTCAAAAGCATCCTCCCTAGACATTGTCCAACTCTCTGATGCATAACAAGTGATTGCAAAGACTATGGCTTGTATCAGACGCACCTTAGTCTCCAGAGAGACACCATTGTTCTTCAGTACTTTGGAGAGATCCCTAACAGCAGACTTTCCCAATGCAATACGTCTTTTAATTTCCTGGCTGCTGGTGCCAAGAGTGTTGACTGTGGAACCAAGCACACTAAAGCTGTGAACAATCTCAAACCCTTCACCATCCTTCCTGATGCTGCCAATTGGTCCAGTGGTAAGAATCTTTGTCTTCTTGACATTGAGCCTCAATCCATGTTGAAGGCTGTAGTTCTTATCTTTAACAGAAAATATAGGAATGGGTGGTGAGAAGAGGTTCAATTTTCAACAATGAATTTGCAGCACCAGGAAGAATTCTTAAATCAGGAAACATTGATTTGTGCTGTCAGAACCAACTCATAGGTGACCCTCCCAGTGGGTTTTTAGAGACTGTAAATCTCATGGAAGGCGATGGCCCATCTTTCTCCCATGGAACAGCTGGTGGCTCAAACTGCATGGTTAGCATCTCTTTGGGTTAGCATCTCTTTACCCTCTAGGCCAACAGTAAGGATCTAGTTGAGTCAGGGGGAAAAAATTGGATTGGAGCAAGAGACTGGGCAAAGTCATTACTGGAAAATGGAGATTATATTAAAAAGCCAATTTCTGGGACCCCAGCCAGTTTAAATTTAGTATAATTTAGGATTGTTGTTCTCTTTCTGTCATCCCTAGTCACTGTCCAACTCTCCGATGCATAGCACATAATTGCAAAGACTATAGCCCGTATCAGGCACACCTTAGTCTCCAGCCTGACATTGTTGCTCTTCAGTACTCTTGAGAGGTCCCTGACAACTAACTTTCCCAATGCAATTCATCTCTTGATTTCCTGGCTACTGTTACCAAGAGTGTTGACTGTGGGGCCAAGCAAACTAAAACTGTTAACTCTCAATCTCTTCACCATCCATACTGTTACTGCCAGTTGGCACAGTGGTGAGAATCTTTGTTGTCTTGATGTTGAGCTTCAATCTGTATTGAAGACTGTAGTCCTTGACCTTCTGCAGCAAGAGCTTCAGGTCCTCCTCAGTTTCAGCAAGAAGGGTTGTGTCATCTGCATAATATAGGTTGTTGATGACTGTTCCACCAATCCTGATGCCACATTCCTCCTCGTACCTGGGATGATCTGTTCTGCATACAGATTGAAAAGGTGTGGAGACAGAATACATCCCTGACGGAACCCCTTCTTGATTTTGAATCATGTAGTGTCTCCTTGCTCTGTTCTGACGAATGCCTCTTGGTCCACTTATGTTGTTGTTGTTGTTGTTATGTGTCATTGAGTTGTTTGCGACTCATAGCGACCCTATGTACAACAGCCCTAAACCCTGCTCTATCCTGTGCCAACCGCATTGCCTCTTGACACACCCATCCTGATTACCCCAGTCACTGAATCAATTCACGTCATAGAGGGTCTTCCCCTCCTGCGCTGTCCCTCTACCCTGCCAAGCATGATGTCCCTCTCCAAGGACCTGGCCCTCCTTACAACATGTCCAAAGTATGTCAGATGAAGCCCCAGAATCCTTACCTCCAAGGAGTAGCCTGGTTTAACCCTCTCTAGGATGGATCTGTTTGTTTTCTTGGCAGTCCACGTATAGGTTTCACATAAGCACAATCAAATGTTCTGGGATTCCCATTCTTCTAAGTCAGCCATAGCTTGTTGTGATCCACACAGTCAAAAGCCTTTGCATAGTCAATGAAGCACAGATAGACATTCTTCTGGTATTCTCTGCTTTCTGCCAAGATCCATCTGACATTAGCTATAATATCCCTAGTACCACGACCTCTTCTATATGCAGCCTGCACATCTGGCAGTTCTCTATTGATCTATTGCCCCAGTTGTTTTTGGATAATTTTCACCAGAATCTTGCTTGCATGTGATATTCATGGTACTGTTCAATAATTTCTGCACTCTCTTGGGTCACCTTTCTTTGGAATGGGAACAAATAACGATTTTTCTCAGTCAGTTGGCCAGCTGGCTGTCCTCCACATTTCCTGGCACAACTTAGCACGCAGCATCTGTCTGTTGAAATATGTCAGTGGTTTTCTGTCAACTCCTGGAGCCTTGTTTTTTGCCAATTCTTGCAGAGCAACTTGAATTTCCTCCTTCATCACCACAGGCTCTTGCTCATATGTTATTTCATTAAATTCTTCTGTGTCAGCCAATTCCTTCTGATACAGTGACACTGTATACTCCTTCCATCTTCTTTTAATGCTTCCTGGATCATTTAACATTC